TAATCTTAGAGGTCAAAACAGCTCCTCAGTTACCTGGAGGGATCACCATAAAGAGTGTCCACCCCTCAGTTAAAGTCTGCGTGATTGAACATAATGGAGGGTTTGACTCTACATGTCAAGCACACGTTTGACAGTGTTTAGCTATAGAATCTGGAAGGAATGACTGGACACTGCAGACATTGAATGTTCTTCTATTTTATATTCCATTTCAAATTCTTTGAATTTGAATCAAATTCTGCCAAAGGAACTTTGGTCCTGGGGAAACTTGCTTGTTAATTTATTTTTCAAAATTTTATTTATTTATTTTTATTTTAGAGAGGGAAAGAGCACAAGAAAGGGAAAGGGAAACACACACACACACACACACACACACACAGAGAGAGAGAGAGAGAGAGAGAATCCCAAGCAGTCTCCATGCTGAGCATGGAGCCCGACATGTGCTCGATCTCACAACCCTGAGATCATGACCTGAGCTGAAATTAAGAGTTGGATGCTCAATTGCCTGAACCACCCATACGTCCTGCTTTTTAATTTATTTTATATTTTAAAGAATCAAATAACACGGGGGAGTATTTTTAGTTTAATGTTCACAAATGTATAAGTCAGAGAAAAGAAAATGAGACTTTTGTGATTTATGTTCTTGGTATGCTTGGCAAGAAATGTAGCAACATCATTTAATGGGTGGGGAGAGGACATCCTATTGGGACATTAAGTATCAACGCTAGGTGGTACTTTATTCACGTCTCCTGTCTTTGGACTTAGATGATCTGATTTGAATTTTTTTAATGTTTTATTTATTTATGAATGAGAGAGTCAGAATGAGCAGGGGAGGGTCAGAGAGAGAGAGAGGGAGACACAGAATCTGAAGCAGGCTCCAGGCTCTGAGCTAGCTGTCAGCACAGAGCCCAACGTGGGGTTCAAACCCACAAACCGTGAGATCATGACCTGAGCCAAAGTCGGACGCTTAACTGACTGAGCCACCCAGACATCCCTAGATGGTCTGGATTTGAATTCTGGCTCCATCATCCCTAGATGTGTGATCTTGGACAAGTTACTTAACCTCTCTGTGCCTGAATTTCTTCACCTGTATAACTGAAGATAATCATAATCCCTCTCTGCAGTGTTACCACACACTTATGGGAGATATTCCATGTAAACTGCTTACATAGTATCTAGTTATAAAAAGAATTTAAGAAGTGCTAGCTACTAATATTAGTAAGAATTCTAAGAATCATAGGTCCTTTGAGCTAATAGGGACCTCCCGACATGCATTTGATCCAGGTCATTTGACACACTCTCTTATTTTTATTCCAAGCTAGAAGACAAAAAAGTTTTTCTGTTTCTTACTGCTTTCATTAAGTAACAGGCGTCTCTGAGGTCTCCTAAATGGAGTCAATTAGATAGCAACATTCCTTCAATGAGGAACAATATCTGTATAATTATTATTTTTTTAAGTTTAGTTTTGAGAGAGATATAGAGCACAAGCAGGGGAGGGGCAGAGAGAGACACACACACACACACACAGAATACCAAGCAGGCTCTGTGCTGTCAGTGCAGAGCCCGATGTGGGAGGCTCGAACTCACCAACCGTGAGATCGTGACCTGAGCCAAAAAGGAGAGTTGGGTGCTTTGCTTAACTGACTGAGCCACCCAGATGCCTCATGATGTCTCTTTAGAAATGGAAAATGGCCATTGTCCTGAAGAGGTGGTGTGGCTTCATGATCCACCAGCGGAAGCACACCCCAGGATCTGCCTTTTTTCTTTCCACTAGCTCTACACTAGCTCTATACCATTGTTTCAAATGAAGGTCGAGAGCCATAGAATTTAGCAAAGATCATCCACTCAGATGCCTACAGAGACAAGGCAGGTAATAATATGTATGAGTTAAGTAGGCTGGGGGTAAGGAAAAAAATCCCACAGTACACACAGGATGGTAAATGTCAATTGACACTTGGCCTTAATGTTGTATAATAATAGGGAGCAGTGTGGCTACGGTGAATTAAACAACATATAACCTATATAAAGGAGTACCTCTACTCAGCTCTATTCTACTTTTCGAAACAAACTAGAAGCGCAGGTTTTATTTAAATAAAAATTTTAATTAAAAAAACCCACTTTGTCTCAAATGTGTTAACAAAAGCAAACACATCTGTTTGGCCCCAATATGACATGCACGTTGTCTGTTTGCAAGCCCGAAACACGGGGCTTCGGACACCTACTTCAGCCTCTCACCCAGTGGAAGAATTTCCTCTCCAGCCCCCCAATGGGAATGAACCCTTCTAGAGGGGGCACGGCCACTTTCTCTAGAGGCTCTCTCTTCCATTCTGTAAACTGCCATGTTTGCCGAGCCAAGACTGTCCCCCCCAAATTTACTGCGGTCCCTCCTCCTTTGTCACTTTGGAGCAGCGGGGAGGAGGATGGCACCTTTTACATGTGACTGCTTCCCATAGAAGGTAATTTTTGTCATGCCATTGCTTTCGCACTGCCCCCGTGACATGATTTCTAGGCTTGTCACTGTCTACTTCCCCTTCCTCCAGAACTGTCCCTTCAGAAAGCGCACAGCCAGAACTGGAGGGGGGACGGCAGGGAGAGAAACGCAGACCCTTTGTAACTTTCATCTCCAAGATGCTAAGCAAATGGGGACATCTGCCCTGCTGAGTCACACCTTCTCCCTCTGACATATATTTTGAAGAGATCAGACAAAGGGGAAAGGAAAGATCTCACTTCTGCAAAGTCATGTGGAAAAGTGGAAGGATTTTACTGGGGAGGGAGTTTCCTTGGAGATGACGCATGGGATTCTTAACGACACTGCATTTGTGTTTAACCTGGGGCCTTGGGATGCTCTGAGGACAGCAAGGAGATACAGACGCCTTCTCTGGAAGCTCAGCGCTCTCCTTTCTCTCAGCCTGCCCAAAGGTGGACCACTCCTTAGCTTCTTTTAAGATGACTGAACCCCCAACAATCTTGCTCCGTGTCCAGTCACCCCATGGGAAACCAGTGTCTCTTGCCACAACACACAGGGAATGATCCGGGCCACCTCAGAGCCCTCCTCGCCTCAGCTGGGCCATCTTTTTCTGGCCCCTTTCTCCACACCCCCAGAGCATCAGCCCTGGGCATCAGACCAGTGGTTCTGAAGTTCTCAGCTAAAGGGCACTGTCAGTCCCTTACTTGGTGGTGGGGAAAGGGTACGTAAGAATACTCTGGGTACCTCTAATCTTACGGGGGAGGAGAACTGGTCTAATGCCGGCCCTGTTCCCCAGGGGATGAGAAAGGGATGGCGGCTGCTCTGTGCACTTCACATTCGCTTTCTTCCTCTGGTTTTGACCCATAAAGCCTACCCCGCCCCCACCTTCTGGTTGCACGTACAGGGTTGGAGGTGAGTGAAGGTGTGTGTGGCAGGTCTGTTCTGCAGAAATCATATGAAATCACGACTTCCTGCAGGCCCTGCACTAAGATAACAGCCTCACATCTGGCGGTGTTTAGAACTCAGAGTGGAGGCTCTGACCCAGTCCAGAAACATTCCAGTGGCTTTCCCACTGTGGAGTTAAAATTGACTCCCAAGTGGCCTTCTGCATGGACGCTGGGAATAGGCTGGCCCGAAGGTGCTCCCCTCCCTGACTCTTGCCCACAGTAGAAATTGAACTTTTAGGAGTGTGAATGAGACACTTTTCTCTAGTTTCCAGAAATGGTCTAGGTAGAATTGTCATATGGCTTTCCCTCTATTGGGTGGGCCATTGTAGCAAGAAATTAGGAGAGGGAAGAAGTTAAATGCATGGCCTTCTGACACTACCTTAATCCCAGAATCTTCCCTCCCTGCCTTCCCTCTCTCCTGTCTTTCTTTTTTCTTCTTAGCCCATTGCCTCACCAATTTATCTATAAATCTACTTTGTCTCACAGAAACCCGGTTTTACTGTATTTTTTTTCTTGAGACTATAGATTGAATGAGATTTGATATTCCCTTCTGTTTCCTGCAGGAAATCTTTTCCCAAAGCATGTTCAGGCTTAGCGTGCTGTGTGCTATTTGTTTTTGTTTGTTTGAGAGAGAGACAGAGAGAGAGAGACAGAGAGACAGAGGGAGGGAGAGAGAGAGAATCTTAAGCAGGCTCCACTCTCAGTGTGGAGCCCAATGTGGTGCTCAATCCCACGACCCTGGGATCATGACCTGAGTCGAAATCAAGAGTCAGATGCTCAACTGAGCCACGCAGGTGCACCTGTGTGCTGTTTGTCTGTCTTTATGCTGCAGTCTTCAGAGGCTCTACATTCATTTTTTTCTGCCCAGGAAGAGGCACATTTTATTGAGGTATATACTTATGATATGTGATTATACACATTTGTGTGTGTGATTATATGCATATGTGTATATACATGTGTGTATATACATGTAGTCACTCACCATAAGTGTACAGATCAAAGAATTTTCATGAAGTGAACACAGCCCTGTAACCAGTGCTCAGACCAAGAACTTGAATATTCGTAGCACCCAGAGGCCCTCCTCATACCATTTTTCCCACTACCTATCCCTATCAAGGTTAACCATTATTCTGATGTCTAACAGATTAGATTTGCTTGTTTTTGAACTCAATATTAATGGAATCTTACAGTACGTCCTCTTTCTGTCTGACTTCTTTCAGTCTGCATGTTTTTCAGATTCATTCATATTATCACATATGGTTGTAGTTTTCCCCCCATCCTCACTGCTATATAATATTCCACTCTGTGAATATATCACATTTTATTTTTGCTCTGTTGATAGCATTTGGTTATTTTCCAGTTTTTACCAGCCTGATCATTAAAGCAATTTTTTAATGTTTATTTTTGAGAGAGAGAGACACACACACACACACACACAGAGAGAGAGAGAGTATGAGTGTGGGAGGGGCAGAAAGAGAGAGGGAGACACAGAATCTGAAGCAGGCTCCAGGCTCTGAGCTATCAGCACAGAGCCTGAGGGCTTGAACTCATGAACTGTGAGATCATGACCCGCACCGAAGTCAGTTACTCAACCGACTGAGCCACCCAGGCGCCTCCGGTCTGATCATTTTTAAGCAGTGACTATCACAACCAAGGCTGGCATTTCTTCCCAAAAGGGTGAGCATCTTCTATGTAGCTTCCTGTGCGTTGGGCTGGGCAGAGTCTTGCTATCTCTTGGAGAACTGAGCGCTCCTGATTTAGCAGTCGGGGTGGGGGATGGGAGATCTGGCCAATGTGCAACTTGGGCTCTAGGGCTCTGTCTCTGCTGTAGCTTCTTCATGTTATTGGCTTGCCTGGGCTTCCGCGTGGTGAGGGTTTCCCCTGTTCACATTGTCCAGGCCAGAGGCACTCAGACTGGGGTTTAGAGCCTCAGGCAAAAAGCTATGGGTGAATCTCAGAGGTATGCAAATCTATAAACTTTAAAAAGACTGTATTTTTATTTCAAGAGAATCTAAAAACAAATTAGTCACCTTCCAGGTCATTGGAATCCAGTTCCTTCTGATGAGGCAGTTTCAGGAAGTGGTAAAGAGGATGTATTCTGGTGTTGTCCCCGTTCAAATTTCCTCTCTACACCTCAGCTGTGTGACTCAGGACAGCACTCATCCTCTGTGCCTGAGTGCCTTTAGCTACAAAAGGGTCTCAATAATCATTCCTACTCTGGGGTCCCTGCGAGATCTAAATGAGATTATGCCCGCCAAGCACTTTATCTGGTGCTCAGTGAACATCAGTGCTCAATCACCACCTGATTTGTGTGTATTACCTGGGTGGCCCCGTCATTGTCAATGGCTCATGAGAAAAACACAAAGGTGGAATTAACAGAGAAGTGATGTGTGAGAGCCGAATGAAGGCCAAAGGATATCATGGAGTGCTGAATAAATGAAGTGTTCACAGTTGTTTAAATAAAGAAAAGTAGTGTGATGACTGAGTCATCGCACAGGCAGGCTGAACTCAAAGGTATGTGCCTGGGAGCAGTTGGTGCTGGGCTTGTGTTGCGAGCTGCGAGTTATTTTTCTGCAAAGCCCCATTTACCCCATGAAATCAATGTTGCTAATATGATCTTTATTGGGTTTGTCATTTGCACTGAATTTATAAATTTGTTTTGCTCTTATGTGAAAGGCAGAAGCATGAGCTTATATTTAGCGTGAACACATTTAGGTAACTTTCTTTAGGAAAACAATTTAAGGGGCACCTGGGTGGCTCAGTCGGTTAAGTGTCTGACCTCAGCTCAGGTCATGATCTCATGGGGTTCGTGGGTTCGAGCCCCATGTCAGGCTCTGTGCTGAGAGCTCAGAGCCTGGAGCTTGTTTCAAATTCTGTGTCTCCCTTTCTCTCTGCCCTCCCCCACTCATGCTGTCTCTCTCTGTCTCAAAAATAAACAAACTGTAAAATAAAATAAAAAATAAATAAAAGAAAAACAATTTAAAGTCAACGCTGTGTCTTAAAAGGTGTCCCTATGGTTTTTAGTTTCAGAAACACTGCCCTGGGGTTTTTGAACCGGAATTCAGATAGAGGGAAATCAAAGGCATTTCCTTTGGTTTGGCACAGAGCCCTAACTCACCACGAGTGGGAACTCTCCAGTTACAGATCCGAGCCAGCAGCCAAGATGTTGAGAGCAACGAGTGCCAAGCCAATAGCTCTTCACTACCACCGGAGCCTGTAGGTTGGCAGCACGTCCAGTTTCACCCCACTCCAAAGCTCAGAGTGTGGACTTTACTTCATGATCTAGCTGACCGTTGCATTCCTGGTATTGCCTTCTAAGATTTCTGCTTTTGCATTCAGAATCTCTGAGATTAATGGCTCTATGGGGTAAAATGTTGCCTGTTACTTAGGTGTTACCTAGTAGATGTCATGGAGCAGAGCTCTCTCCTGGCCATGATTCAAGAGGTCCGCTCCTCGGCAGCCGCACCACTGGGGATCCAGCACTAGAAAGCTCCAGCCTGGGATCAGCCTTCCAGTGAAATCTGTAGGCCCAGTCCCCCCTTTTCTGGGGCCTGCCCCTAGTCACATGGCCTTGGGCCTCCCTAGCCTGCTTTGGCCACCTTGCCTTTGCTCTATTTTCCAGACCCAGCCACCATGTCTCAGTCAAGGTGTCTAATTCTGCAAAAGGCTTGTTCTGAGCCAATGGGAGGGCCTTATGCTGGGTGGGACCTCGAGGAAGCGATGTGACTCCCATCCTCAGGGAGCCCATGGTCTGGGGTAGGGGGTAGGGGCCACAGGAGCATCTACCCAGTGCCGTGAGAAGTGTAGAGAGCTGTTCTGAATACAGAAAACAGGAAGAGAGGGTTTCACGCTGAGGGATCTAGGAGGGTGTTGAAGGATGGTGGGATTTGAGGCGGAGCTGTAGGCTGCCGGCCCAGCATGGTGCAGGAAGTGCATTCGCTAAGTGGGGAGGCAGGTGTGAGGATGGAAAGGAGAACAGGTCCAAACTGCAGGCTGTTAGGCCTGGAGGGAGAGTCAGGTCTGGGGCAGCAGTGAGGCTTCTAGGTTAGTTAGGGATTTTTTGGTCGCAACAGATGGGAACTGAACTTGAACTAACTTAGGCAAAAAGGATGCCTTATGTGGAGAAGTGAGAATCCTTCTTGGCATGGGAAGGGCCAGGGTGCTGCCGGCCTTCGGGAACAGCTGGCCAGCTACTCAGGCGCTGTCAAGACTCATCTCTTGATCCCATTTCTCTTCATGTAGGCTTCATTTTTCTCTTTCAAGGCTGAACCTTTCTACATGGAAATACCCTGGAGACTGGACGTACTGGCTCCGCTCAGGTCAGGTTCCCGTCCGTGGATCCGGCAGCTGGGGTCACGTGGTAGTGGGGCTTTTCCATTACTGTCTGCAGAAGGTGGCTGAGGAGGCAACGGGAACTGTCCCCTGAGTTTGCGAGCAGAGGAATATGACCAGATCTGACCCCCATTTTTGGGATGAGTAGGCATTAAAGATGACAATGTTTTTTTTTCCTTTTATTCATAAAAACAAATTTGCAACAATTTATTAAAAATTGATACCATGCAATAGGGGTACGAGAAATTCCTCATTTACATTTGATTCTGGCAGTTCCAGCCTAATTTAAAGCGTTTGTGCACTAACGTCATTGGAAAATGCCTTCAGGCTGAAGCCTCTTCGGAAATGTATGGTGTATTTGCTGCGTATAAAAGAACAGAACCGTTAAATAGCTAGGGTCACTTCTGTGGGTCTTGTTATTTGCAGGGAAATTAAAAAAAATGGGTGAACCTACAGTATCATTAAGACAGAAAATGTACTTTGTGGGTTAACCTAGAAGACTGTGCACGCTCAGGGGTCAAAACGGGTCACGGACGCACACACTCACCTCCGACTGTCCAATACTTGTTTCTTTTTTTTTTTTTTCCTGCTATGCTGGAATAATATTTCTACAGGTATATTTGTGTGTGTGTGTATACATTATGTACAATGAATTATCTCCCTCCCTTTGAAAAATTAATGTGGTCCTTTAAATTAAATCTGGTTTTGGTGAAATCAAGAAAGCAAGTAAATACTGGTAATACACAGTGAGTGACAACACCGATTTTTAGTGCCTAAACAGACAATGACTTCAAATTGACCTGTGATGTGTTGATATTTTTTTTTCCCTAAAAGCTACAGTACCTCCATAACCTCTCTCTGGGGAAGGGGAGGGGAAAGCTAATATGCTACGTGAAAGAGGGTGTTTTGAAATGTTGGCGATGGTAGGATTCCTGTGGGCCCTTTTGTCAAAGTCTGGTGGTGACAGCTGTATATTCCTGACTTCAGTGGTCTGGGAAGAGATTATTGCCTGCCTGTTGAAGCTGCCATTAGGTTTCTTTAGGGAGTGAGCGACCGCTCAGTTGTGCAGATGTCCTGGACGCTGTCATTCAGGCCTTTCTTTAGCAAAGAATGAACCTGTCTAGGAATGTCACAAAAGTCGTTGGGAGCCTCTCTCCACCAGGTCATGCTGGTAGAGGGGCTGTGCTGGGAGCTCCTCTGGGCCAAACCCCTGGCGGTCGTGAGGGCCGAAGGTCATGGTCATCCTGATACCTCACGGGTCAGGGCTGCTTCACCGTGTGGTATGAAGCTTTCCTGGACGAGATCAAGTTTTGATCCTCAGAGTGACCCTGTGAGGTAGGCAGGACGGGTGTTGTTATTTCAACCCCAATCTATTGGGGAGGGGAAACTGAGGCTCAGAGAGACACTGGTGACTTTCACGAGGTCATGGAGGGAGTCAGCCATGGAGTGAGGACTTGAGCCCGGGACTGTCTGACTCCCAGGCCAGTGCTCTCTGGGGCTCGGCTGAAAGGGAAGAGTGATGTGATGAAGAGGACTAGTGTGCTGACTGCTCACCACCAGGACTCCCAAAGGCGGAGCTCCCGGCCCGTCCAGATGGAAGGCCACCTGCAGGAAGCCAAGGGGAGCCCTCGGCTCACCACTCTCTCCCTATGACTATAGGGATGCCTTCTAGCAGAATGCCCGATTCACTTTGGTCAGAAACAAAGTCAGTGGGAAACACCAACCCCAGGCAGCCCTTGGGCCCTGATGAGAGGTTAAAGTGCACAGTCTTTCTTTAGCGTGTTTGCTGGGAACAGACATTCCATGGTTAGCTCGGGCGGTCCCCCTGATTACTGGAACACCTGATACAAACACAGGGACGTGGCCAACGTGGTGGGTGCATGACCGACTGTCGGTGAATGGTGCAGAGCAGGTCTGCAGTGACGTGCCCTAAATCCCCACGGTCCCGGAACGGGTGTTATTGTGTTAATGGGTGGCATTTACCAGAGAGTAAGGTCCCACCGGGAGGCATGCGGGTCAGCCTGCCCCCGTACCCCAGCCCTCGGGCCACCTGGCTGCCCTGTGGACTCCCTGTTCCAGGAAGGCAGGGGTTGGCGGGACGGGCAGCTGGGGGCCCGGCTGCCCTGCCCATCTCCTTCCCCAGAGGGGACACGGGCTGGCCTGGGGGGCCACAGCCAGGGATGCGTGTGCAGAGGCAGAACGGTTTCTCCGGAAGCCCCTCGCCTCTCCTCAAGGCTGCTCAGGGACACTCGGTGACTTCTAGCTGGAGTTCAAGTGATTCTCTCCTTGTCTAGGATTTGTTTTTGTTTTTGTTTTTTGCAAAGTTTCAAATATCCCAGCTCCTCCTTCTTTGTAGACGTCAAGGAAGAAGTCATTTCCATTCCTCTTCTTTGTGAAAGAATAAAAACTTCACAAATAAGGCGCGAGGTCAGGTGCCAAGTGCCCCCATCCTGTCCACCTGAGTGCCATCGAGCAGTCCCACAAGGCCAGCCGCGGCGCCCAGCTTCTCCGCAGCCAGAGCGGACAGTGATCCCGTAGCCTCTGCTCCGTGTGGTTCTGTCCCGGGGGAGGCCCCGGCCCCAGGCCTCCCACCCCTACAGGCCCGAGACCATAACTCGGAAGGAGGGTGGCACATGTCTGTGGCGGGGGCTGGCGGTGGGGCTGACGCAGGGGCTGACGCAGCTGGCGTCCACGCCTCCAATGGACGGGAGGTAGGCGTGGTGGAGGATGGGGAGCTGGAGAGACAGTCGGCGTTGGATGCTGTGGCAGGGAGAGAGAGAGAGAGAGAGAGAGAGAGAGAGAGAGAGAGNATCCCTTTATAGTTTACATTCTCAAGGGAAAGACAAAACAAACAATTAAAAGGTACAGTAAAGTCAGAAAGAGTTATGAAGAAAACTAAGACAGAAGAGAGAGAGAGAGAGAGAGAGAGAGAGAGAGAGAGAGAGAGACGGGGTGGGGGGGAGGAAGAGGAAGAGAGGAAGGGAGAGAGGAGTTTCAGCGAAGGCTATCTGGCTGCTCACTAGAATGTTCCGTGGACTCACTGTGGCTAAGCTGATGGTAGGACAGTTCTCCTGAATCCAAGATCTGCCCATCCCATCATGTAAGCACTCACCCGCTGAGCAGGTACTTACTGCAGGCCTACACCTGCCAACGACCACCCTGCGAATAGCCAGGGACATAATGAGCAAAGGGGATGCAGTCGTCCTGAGCATGCGGTGATTCCTAAGAATAAATTCCGTGCACATCTCATGGGGCTTGGCTGCTGACATGGACAGTTCTCACGCTCTCTACTCTTGCAAGCCTCCTGCTGGGCTGAAAGGCTTCTCACTGCTCTGTCCTTCCTCTTGGGCTCCTCTGCCCCCTGCCTTGTTCAGGACCTCAGCCCTTCTTGCTGGGCTGACTCCAATAGGTTCCTTCCTGCTCTTTCATCTTCTTTGGTGACTAGTGTCATCTTTCCAAGCCCTGGGACAGGACATTCAGGGCTGCCTAAGATCTGTCTCTTGCCTAATTCTCCAGGTGAAACTTCTACCCTCTCTCCACCCAAACCCGACCCCTTGGAGGCTACTTTCCCCAAAAGTAAACTCTTCTGAGAGTGAGCCCTTCTTCCTCTGAGCTCCCAGAATTCTGGGTAAAGTCCCAGAGGCACAGCCAGCAAAGCCCTGGGGGCCAGGGGTGGTGTGTGGCTCCTGGCAGCAGGGGAAAGGCAGCAGCTTTCTCACTCCCTTCTTGCTGCCATTCTCTCCCGGACCTGCTTCTCATCAGAGTCGCCCCTGGGCAGTAAGTCACCTTATCGGAATCTTGTGCGGTTCCCCTTGGTACCTGGGAAGCTGCATTCCTGGGATCCTTAGGCCTCTTTGTGTCCTCAGTGCCTGACTGCTCAGGGTGAGAACCCCTCACCCCCCAAGATCTTCACAGACATCCAGTAGGTACGAGATGTACTGCTATTCTCATTATAACGACGAGGGAGATGGACAGGGTTTATGTAACTTGCTCATGGAAACAAAGCCAGAACTAGGAAAGATGGGTCTCCTGCTTCTTCTGGGAAACCGCAGTGCTCTGTGAGAGAAGCAGATCAATTCACACAGGGCTACCTCATCCCAAGAGGTGTGCCCTGGTGTGCATGTGTGGCACCGACGGGGTCCTGAGATGGGTGGGGACAGAGGAGGCCCAAGGAGGACTTGGGGGCCCCAAGTTACACTACGGTTGGTGATTTGGCTGTCTTTGCTGGTTGTCCCCTCCCAGGGACCCCATTTCAGTGCTGACATTTCTAATCTCTGCTTCCAAGCTGCTGTAAGCAAGGAAAAACTAACAATTAACCAATGAGAGCAAAGCTAATGGAAATGTCCCGGTAGGTCTTTGCTCAGATGTCACCTTGCTGACTCTTTCCTGATGGCTCTCTATAAGATTATGGCCCTTAACGCCTTTCCCTACTTTATTTTCCTCCAAAGCATCTATGATTTAATATACCACGTTTTGGTTTTTAAATGACGTTATTCTGTCACCGGATAGAACATAAGCTCCGTGAAGGAAGGGATGTCTGTTTTCTTCATTTCTATGTCTGACACACAGTCGATCTTGGTAAACAGTTGTGGAATCAGTGCACCGAGGAAGGTTAAATTTTATACACAACAAAGGCAGTGTGCTACTGTAGGTTTGATGGTGGGCAGACCCCAGTTCAAATCCTATCTCCTACACTTAGAAACTGGGGGAGCTTTGACAAGTCACCTCCGCCTTATGAACATTAGTTTTCTCATCTGTAAAATGAGCATTGTGATTTGACCTGCATCATGGGATGGCTGTGGAGCTCAAATAAAATGATGCATGAGAAAACCTGGTTCAGACTGAAACTTGTGTGCAGGAGTAATGGACTCTTCCACAGTAGTTCTCAAGGAGGAAGTACTTACTGTTCTGGAGAGTTTATATCTTCTATAGGATCTTTGCACGTTCGCGAGGGCTCTGTTGTGTTCCACTGTAGCTGGGGATTTTGATCGAGGTGATTTTTTAAAATGGCCTTTCCCCCATCTGAATGTAAAACAACAATATCACAACACATTCTGTTAACTTCGTCTTTCAAAAAATGCGATCTTTTGGGCATCTGGGCGGCTCAGTTGGGTAAGTTTCCGACTTCGGCTCAAGTCATGAACTCACGGTTTGTTAAGTTCAAGCCTGGTGCTGGGCTCTGTGCTGACAGCTCAGAGCCTGGAGCCTGCTTCCGATTCTGTGTCTCACTCTCTCTCTGCCCCTCTC